CGAGCATAAGCCTTCTTGCTGGTTCGTCCGTGGACTTCCAGGGCACACTAGCCTGTTTTCGTATGGCAGTTCCGGCCCGTCCTGGTTGTGGGGGTATGTGGGCCGGTGGACTGCTCCTAGCAGCTGCCTGGTGGGCCACCCTCTGGCTGGTCTAGCCTGGCCTTGGGCCAGGCTTGAGGTGTTAAAGAGCTCCCAGTGCCTTATCCAGCAGGTATCAAGCGGGGTTTCTCCGCTGTCGGTCGCCTGGTGCAGGTTTCTGGGCCTGCGGGGTTTTGTCGTGTCTCCGTTGGCCCTGTCTGGGGTCTGCCTGCTCCGTTCTCTGCCTTTGCAGAAGGGAGTTGCTATTTACATGTTGCATGTTGCAGTGGTGCCTGTTGCTGCTGCTGCACTTGTGCATTGGTACCGTGTTTCACGGTGGCGTGTCCTTGTTCCTGTGTCTGGTTGTGGAGTGGCACTTTGCTGCCGTTTTGTGCCTGGGGATTGCGTGGGGTTTTTTCTGTCCCTGCCTGATTGTCCACCCCTGGTTGTTATCCTGGGGTTTTTGTGCTTCTGCTCTTTCTTCCTGCCTCCTCTGCAGCAGGGGTGTTCTGCGTGTGTTCTTAGGCGTTTGTCAGCCTGTGTCCTGTGATGTGCTTCTTTGTCTCGGTCTATTGCAGTTGTTCGTACCCCTTGGTTCGGGTACTGTTCTGGCGGCGACCCTTCCGCCTTCTTTGGTTTCCTAGCTTGCCCTGCCGTTTTTTTTTTTTTTTTTTTTTTTTTTTTGGGTCTTGCGATGTCTCGCGTCGGACCCGTCGTTTCTGAACTCCTGGCGGGCTTGCATGCTTTGGGGAGTTTTTCTGTTCGGCAGACGTTCCATCTCCTTGTGCCGCCTGGGTTTCGGTGGTCGCGCCCGAGATCTTCCCGCGGCTCCACCTTTTCCTGGGCTCGGAGGGGCCTTGTTGGGGCTGCTTATGTTCTGCCTCGCGGTCTCGCCTCCGGTTGGTGGTCGGGTGGCTTCATGGTAGGTGTCCCACCTGCGTGCTTCTCTTGGCGGCAGTATGGGGTATTTTGGCGGTCCTTCCTTTTCCTGTCCCTTCTTAGGTGGTTACTCTTGTTAGCTTGGTTTACTCTCGGCTTGGTTTTCTGGTGGGGGTTGGGGGCCGTCGTCTTGCCACATACTGTCGCCTCTTTTCGTGCGGCGCGGGCGGAGCCACTTCAGCTTGCTTTCGGTCTTGGTATTGCTTCTGCACCGTTAGTCAGCTGTCTTGTGCGTCGTTTCACCTCCGGCCTGTTCGTGCGCCGCTTGCACCATCCTGGTCTCTGGTCAGCGTGCTCTGTCTTCTCCTCGGTTGGTAGTGCCCCTTCGGTTCCGGTGTGTTTTTTCGTCGTCTTTCCTTTTGGCCTTTGCCTCTGGGGGTCGAGTCGCTGAGTTTTCTTGCTCCTTCAGTTTTAGCGTTTTGGTTGTTCGGTGGCAGCAGTCTCCATCTTTTCTGGCGCGGGGTGGGGCTGCTGCGTTCTGGAGGGGTCCAGGGTTTGTTGGTGCTTCGTTGGTCGGGCCGGGGGTGTGTCGTTTTTTGTGTTCAGTGGCGGCCCTCCGCTGTTGTTTGTGTGCCACGGCGTTTGGGTCCGGAGCGTGTTTTGCGTTGATCCGGTTCTGTACTTCCCGGTTCGCGGGTGATAGTGTCCCGGGTGGTCAGCTGTGTTCTTGCGGCTGAGCTGCCTGTGTTCTACCCTCATGCCTGTGGCGTTCGTGGCTTCGCTGCTCTTGCTGCCGTCTGGGCGACGTGGCCTTGTGGTCTTTCGGGCATGGATTTTTGGTGTTCGTGCAGGGGCCTTGCTGCTCGTTGTTCTCGTGTTGTTCCCGGGTCTTTTCGGGGCTGTGGCGCCTTGGGTTGGCGTTTGCTGCCGGTTGTCTCGCCTCCTTGGGGGGTGCGTGGTGTCCGCCTCCCGGTTCTGTCCCTTTGACCTTCCTCTGTGGGTAGTTAGCTCCGGGGAGCCGACGGGGCTCCCCCCAGAAAACCAGCGTTGAATGTAATGAAACGCCATTTTCTGGGTGAGACCCGGAGGCTCCCCGGCAACCCTCGCTCCCTCCGGTCGGCGTTTTTTTGCGTGTTTTGACATCCAGCCTCAGAACTGATGGGTGGATAGCCGGCGTGGGAGGTCTGAGGCTCCCCCTTCCCCCTCCCGGGGAGGGGGGAGCTGCGCAGACAGCGGCGCGGTGACGTATGACATCATACTAGCTTCCTTGTTTTCTGTTGAGGAGTTCTATCCACTAGTTCGGCTTTAGGTAGCAATTTTCACCAGAATAGGGGTTTGTTTTGGAATGCTTACCTTTCTGGATGCTTGACCCGGTCGATGGCAGACATAGAATGCTTCCAACCACACGGGGGTTTCTATAGGCCATTGCTCCCCTTGCCTCTCTGAGGGGGCCAGGTTCTGGCCGTGGTCCCCGGTAGGCCCTAGAACTCCATACACATGACTGATGCCAAAGTCTGACATTAGCATATCAGCCGGTAAAGCTCCGGGGAGCCTCCGGGTCTCACCCAGAAAATGGCGTTTCATTACATTCAACGCTGGTTTTTTACTACAGCTCTTTGGTTATAAAACAAAATGTCTCAGGGGCTTACTAATAGTGTCTTATTAATGCCAAAAATGAAGCAATATTTTGCAAGAACTAGTAGCAGAAAATCAACCAGCACGAGAACAGCCATACCCAACACGAGAACAGCCGTACCCAGCACGAGAACAGCCGAACCCAGCACGAGAACAGCCGTACCCAGCACGAGAACAGCCGTACCCAGCACGAGAACAGCCGTACCCAGCACGAGCACAGTTATACCCAGCACTGGTACAACAGCCGTACCCAGCACAAGCACAGTTGTACCCAGCACTGGTACAACAGCAGCTAGCACCAGCTCAGAAGCAGCTGAACCCACAGCAGCAGCGAGCACCAGCAAAGCTGATGCAAACATCTAAAAACATCGTGTGCAGCGTGAACAGTTAGAACAAGTGTTAAATTTAAGTGTGTACACAGTGTTAAAATTAAAGTTGCAGTAATTTTAATGTGCAATAGTTTTCATAAACTGTATTGTAGTACTCAACATACAGCAGAACTACTTTTAATCAACACAGTGCTAACGGCAGTATAAAATGTATTTGTATGTTAATATTTTGGAGGGTGGGGAACGGATTAATTCAAATCCCTTTATTTCTTATGGGAATAATCGCTTCGACTTACGATATTTTGACTTACGATCCGTCTCTGGGAACGGATTAGCATCGTAAGTCGAGGCCCCCATTGAATAATACACAGTACAACCTCGATTCAACGCACTATATGGGACCAACCCCAGTGCATTGGAGCATTGGATTCGTTGCAAGAAGTGACCTTCAGGAGGCGTTTCGTTTGTGTCAGTACCTTTTTTTTTTCTTGTACACAATAAAAAACCAGCGTTGAATGTAATGAAACTCCATTTTCTGGTTGAGACCCGAAGGCTCCCCCGGGAGCTTTCCAGGCTGATATGCTAATGTCAGACTTTAGCATTAGTCATGTGTATGGAGTTCTGTGCGCCTACTGGAGACCACGAGCCAGAACCTGGCCCCCCTCAGATGAGGCAAGGGAAGCAATGGCCTATAGAAACTCCCATGTGGTTGGAAGCATTCTATGTCTTTCATTGACCGGGTCAGGCACCCAGAAAGGTAAGCGTCCCAAAACAAACCCCTATTCTGGTAAATTGCTACCAAAAGTGGAACAAGTGGATAGAACTCCCCAAAAGAAACAAGCAAACGAGCATGACATCACACGTTGCCGTACCGCTGTCTGCGCAGCTCCTCCCCCCACCCCGGGAGAGGGAAGGGGGAGCCTAAGACCCCCACGCCAGCTATCCACCCTTCAGTTCTGAGGCTGGATGTCAAAACACGGGAAAAAAATGCCGACCGGGGAAGGGATGCCAGGAAGCCTCCAGGTCTCACCCAGAAAATGGTGTTTCATTACATTCAATGCTGGTTTTCTGGGGGAAGCCCCGTCGGCTTCCCAGATCTAACTACCCACAGAGGAAAATAGAAGGACATGCCCGGGAGGCGAACTCTGCTCACCACTCAACTTGAAATCGAGACAACTGTCTGTCACCGCCAACCCAAAGTGACACAGGCCCGACTAGTCCCAGGAATGTACATGAGGTACCGCGCAGCCAGGACCCTGTTCAACCTCCAAAACCCCCGCGCCCGAATGTCAGCCCAGGATATGTTGCCAAAGACGGCAGCAAGAGCAACGAACGCATGAACGTCATGGGCATGGGCATAGACCTCAGGCTGGCTAGCCTGAAGAACCCTGTGGACGACCTGGAAGACCCGCACCCGTGAACAGGGAAGAAGAGAAACTAGATCAACCCAGAATGATGACAAAGTCAATAGAGAAGCTAATAGACAGAAAGCTATCCAGGCTATCCAGCCTGGATAGCTCTGGGAAGCCTCCGGGGTCTCACCCAGAAAATGGCGTTTCATTACATTCAACGCTAGTTTTATACTGGCTTAGTTCATGAAGGTCCTCTTCCTCTCAGACCTTCAATTTCAAGTATATGCTGGTGAGGTGCCAAAAGTATTCTCAGGAGAGAGGTAAAAATTCAGTAATACAAAACTATACATTCTTCTCGAGGCCAAGCTTTTAATGCTATACAGTATAGAAAAATGTAGCATATATATTATATCCTTCACAGTGCTGAATGACAAATGTTAATGAGAGATTTAAATGGGCTAAGTATACTGTCTTTAGGCACACATATTTTGAGTATTGGAAAAATGGCTCTGTATGATTCATAGTCAAATCATGTCATCCATAGAGGAAAACTCTGTACAAACAAATTTGACTAGCTTTATGAATTTGTTTGGGATGTTAAATTTATTTTAGAACTGTTTTCACACAATCCCATAGATTATAAATTGAAGTCTTCATGTAATTCTAACATCCCATTTATGTTTTCATTTTTAACATTGGTAGAATATACAGTAACTTTATTTTGCAGACAATAGATTCTGAAGAAGAGATGTGTGATCATATTCGAGAATGTCATGGAGACCTACCCTTTATTTGTATTATATGTGGACAGAGTTTAAGAACCAATGCTGCCTTCCAGAGACATAAGGATATTCACAAGGGACTGCGTGGAAGTGCCTGTGAGGTAAGATAAAAATTCCATAGTAAGACAAAATACAAAGATGAATAATTTTTCAATATAAATAAAAAACTGAATAAGCCATGTCTGTGTAAATAAAGTACTAAGATTTTGGTATTGTCTTGACTTTATTTGACCATGAATTTCTAAAATGTTGAAGTGTCTGTTAAGTATATACATGTTCAATTTTATTTTTATGTATTTCTTGTTCTGCAGATTTGCGGGCAAACATTCTCTCGGACAGAATATTACAGAGAACATAAAAGGGTTCATACTGGAGAAAAACCATATGAGTGTGAAATATGCAAGAAGACCTTTAGTAGATCAAGCAATTTATACACTCATATGAGAGTAAGTAAATATGCTTATGTATAACATGTACAGTATTAAGCATCTTGCTGTTTTTCTCTATAACTTTAATGTTTCACATCCTCCAATCATCTAATGTGTCTTCATTCTTTAAAGTAGGTAAATGAAATTAATGTAACTATACTGAACAAAAAGACTAAGTTTTAATGGAGAAGCATTAGAGAGAAATGATGAAGTAGTTAGTTTTTATGATACACAGTACTGTGTCATATTTGTGTGTATTTTATGTGTATTAACAATATTTTTCATTTTATTAATTATCATTGAGTATTGTAGTTGACTGTTATTCTTTCAAGCTGTATGAGAGTAGAGAGAGTATGTGAGTGTTCTAGAATGTTTAAAATTGCCTATACTAATATGAATAAATACTGAAGCTAAACGAATTGAAACAGTGACCCTGAAATCATCAGCCACACGCAATGCCAACTGACCCATGATGAGTTTAAAGGTATTTTCAACTTTTAAGCCCATCACAGTCCAAGCAGTAGTGCATGTATCTAAAAATTTAAGGTTGATGGGATCAATTCTATCATACAGCCTCAACATATATTCACAGAATCTTCATGTTCCGGTGATTTTATGATACTATACTAATATATTTGTTCTTACAGATCCACAACAATGAGGAGCAACGTCACATATGCAATGTTTGCATGAAATCATTTGCTCGAGCTGATAAGTTGAAAGATCACATGATTCGTCATTTACAGATAAAACGTTATGCTTGTCGTTTATGTCCAAAGGCTTATAATGAGAAAAGAGACCTAACCAAACATTTGGAAAAAGTACATGCTGATCACAGTAATCTTGATACATGACAAGTTGTTATAGCAGGCAGTTCCTGTGTAATCTTTTCTTATCCTATAGATGTCTTATTTCTATTTAAATATCAATATTGGACATTTGGTATCTTCACTATTTATATTTTGTATTAAATTAAATCATCAGAATAGATCACTACAAGTAGTAATTACTGTTCTTCCAAGTATGATGCTTTAGAATTTCAGAATGAAATGTACAGTTAAGCTTAATAAATGTATTTCCTAATATATCTATTTAATAAAAAACTACTTTCTTGCCTACAGTTTATTTTCTATTGCCAATATTCTTGTCTGTTATAATATGCCCATATCAAGGTCTCATTATGGCATCATATTAACTCTATTCTGCTTGCCTTAAGGTCATCAAACTTTTTTAAAGGTACCAAAATTATTTAAAAATCACTAATGAATATTATTTAAAAATTTTCTTCCTGACACCCAAATGTGTATACTCGTTCCAGCTTTCTCACCTTAATTTTGGCTCTCGTCCTGCATAGGTGAAGGCAGTTTTGGAGGGTACATGTTCTTTCAGCTGTCACATCTTGTGTTTGAGCTGAAAAATGCCCTTTTTCCATGGGAAGGAATCTCGGGTGATTGTTGTCCAAACTCCTAGACAGAGTAAGGGTTTATATTGTCCATGTGGATATATTTAACCTATCCATGTGGATAGGTTCGTGGACCCCTTGGCTCCAGTTACTGGGTCACAGCTGAATTAATTGTCCTTGGAGTTCTAGGTAGTCATTGTTCTTGTCAACCCTTTCATAAGCCACAATGACATCGTGGTGGGGGGATGTCTGTAGGTTTTTGGGATAGCCTGGACAATTGATGCTAGGGTTTTGTAAGTGATTTACTGGAGTCACTCTTTGGTATGGTGTGTCTATCCAGCCCAGGCCTCCTAGACATCAGACAGCCATCTATCTTACTATATTTTACATGTGTGTATTCAAGTGTAGTTGATGCCCTTCTTTGTTATCGTGATTTTATTCCCAATGTCCACGGTTAAATTTTTGTGAAGAATACAAATGAATGGAAGGGTATAACAAAGGGGATGCAGACAATGAGTCACAATAACATGGCTAAAGAAATGAAGACTAAACCACACACCAGAAGATGAGGAGACGACAAGGAGTCGTCTTCTCATCTTCTGGTGTGTGGTTTAGTCTTCAACAAAAGGGATGTTAATTAACACTTTCCCTATCTCGTGACACATAATGCATTACCAATTTTTCTGCTGAGTCCTATCTCATGACATCATTTGCATCCAACAATAAAATATTTGTATAAACTTCACTTTTTATCTGATCGACTCTGGGATAGTTTCAAAATGAGCCCCTTTAAATTGTGCACAATTTGATATCAAAATGAAAGATGTAACATGAAACCTGATGTCAGAACACTTGAAAGATTATAAATACGTTTTTGGGCAAAATTTTAAAATATTTATTAATTAGGTGTTAAATATATTTATATAAAACAGAACACAAAACAATGGATATAAATTGGAGAAGTATAGATTTAAGAAATACCAGGGTTAGTATTGGTTTGGAAACTAAGAGTTATTGATTTATAGAAGAAATTACTAGGCCATTGTAATCTATTATGTCTATTATGTGAAACTAGGTACCATAATAGTCATGGGATTGCTGGATTGTTTTAAGCATACATTAGACATGTGTGAATGAGTTTGGGTGGATATATATAGGAACTGCCTTGTATGAGCCAATATAAGTTTTCTGATGTTTATTTTATATTTATTTCTGACTAAGAATGTGTCATTTTGGAGAGGTCTTAGATTTGCTTGACCCTCTCTCTCATCTTATGTGACTTGTAGTGGTGCTGGGCTGGTATCTTTGACTATTTCAGTCTGAGTGTTTGTTACTCAACCCCAGTACCATGGTACAGTGTACCATGTTTTAAAATCCATTTTATTCAGACTTATCATGTGCCGACATCCAGACCTAGCAGTGTTATAGGACAAGTTGCACATTTGTGCCTGACTCAGATTATCTGCCTTCATTATCAGTGTGTCATATTTTCATGCCTTTCCTTCAGTAAAACATATCATGCAGTGATCTATGCTTCTGAATGTTTGGTGCAGTAGGAAAGTGGTTCTTGCCTTCTACAATCCTTTCTGGCTGCATTCTGCAGCTAGTGTAAATTTTTCCTGTTTTGTTTCTTTTACATTTTCTGTTAAAGTGTTTGGTCATGGGAATCCAAGTTCAAGTGAGTAATCAAGTGGATTAAGTTTACAAATAAGGCTTTAAGTGCGATTGAAAAGCTCAGAGCAAGCCACCCAGTTGCTCCTGGTTAACCCAACTTACCTTGTGCTGTCAGAGTAAAGGTAGATGAAAATGAGGCATGGATTCTCTTGATGCCTCTGTTTACTGCACTGGTGCTGCCACCTGATGGTAGGTTGGGATAGCAGCTAGGCAGTAATTTAGTATATTGGGCAGATCATAATTTATGTGGTCTAACTGAACTTAAATATTCCTAGGAGTATGCTTGAGGATAGATGAACAAATCTTCTGAAGATAATTCCAGGCTGGACTAAGAATTCTCCAGTGTCTCCTGTCCTTTATTTATAGCTGATTTGAAAAGCAGAGGTGCAACAGGTACTCTGAGAGAGAACTCTATCAACATCAGAGGCCCGAGACTGTTCAATACGCTTCCACTACACATAAGGGGCATAACTGGCCGACCCCTCACAGTGTTCAAGAGAGAACTGGATAAGCACCTCCAAAGGATACCTGATCAACCAGGCTGTGACTCATACGTCAGGCTGCGAGCAGCCGCGTCTAACAGCCTGGTTGATCAGTCCAGCAACCAGGAGGCCTGGTCGACGACCGGGCCGCGGGGACACTAAGCCCCGGAAGCACCTCAAGGTAACCTCAAGGTAGCTTAGCAGAGATAGCTGGAAAAGATCCCTACTGCATCAAAGGATGAGAAGCTTCACTGATCTGGATATTTATGTGCTATTATATGTCCAAGAGAGAATACAACATTGTCTAGAGTGCAATTAAGTTCCTTGCCAAGAAAGCTTTCCATCTAGTTACTTGTAATTTAACCAAAGCAAGTGTTTTAAAACTTTCCACAACTATTGAATTTGATATTCTAACACTGACATAGACGGGAGCCAGTCGGCCGAGCGGACAGCACACTGTACTTGTGATCCTGTGGTCCCGGGTTCGATCCCGGGCGCCGGCGAGAAACAATGGGCAGAGTTTCTTTCACCCTATGCCCCTGTTACCTAGCAGTAAAATAGGTACCTGGGTGTTAGTCAGCTGCACAGGCTGCTTCTTGGGGGTGGAGGCCTGGTCGAGGACCGGGCCGCAGGGACACTAAAAAGCCCCAAAATCATCTCAAGATAACCTCAAGATAGACAATATATGTCCACTGCATGATCTTAAATATCCCTATTGTAATGTATTTTTATATTCATTACTCAGTGACAGTGTACAAGTAAATGTTGCAAGATAGTAAAACCCTTCAGCATATTTTTTATAGTCTAATTAATAATAATCCCCTAAGAACACGTTGCTTTATACTCTACCAGTCAAAATTACACAGCACAGAAATATTGTAACATCTCCATCTTGTAACTTAAAATGCCAGTAGCTATTGGATATGAATAAGTCTTTTGTGATGTGATCCAAATGTCACCAAATTAAAAAAAATATACAAGAATTTGTGCATACTGTCTAGTTTCTTGTATTATATGGTTATCTGTACCCTTTATGTTTTCCTAGTACAGTACTTTAGAGTCTCATGTTCTTTTCAATCCATTTTCTATAGTGAGCAACAGAAGTATAAACAGCTGGTTTATCCATTTGCCCACAGTTTACGGGACCATAAGACACCACTCCAATTTGCAGGAAGGGTGGACCTGAAGGTCCTGCCATCACTAGAGGACCACCCGAGTCTCCTGCACAAGAGTCTTGTCCTTTACGGCCTCCTACACACATCTATGAACAATAGAAAATTATGTTTATATAAATAAACAAAAAGTTTATGTAATATATATTGCACACAAACTTGCACTCATACACACACAAATGCAGATATAAAAACCCCACAAGATTAGGGAGTTTTCTCAGTAATCATGGGGACAAGAAGTTGGAGCTTCATTGTCACAAATATAAATGTGCTAGTTTGTGGATATGGAAAAAAAAAAAGTAAGGCATGGGCAAACATTTTACAAAAACTATAGACTAATCAGAGAAACTTAAGAAATAAATATATGTATATACATAAGTTATGTACATATAATAACAATAATCTATTGTCGGGGACAGGAAGCCAGTGTGTATTTGTACACGTTTTGGCTTTTACTGAGGTTCCCCCCCCCCTCAAGGCCGAATTACTGACCCCGCCCAGGATGCAATCCCACAGCAAGCTGACTAACTCCTGAGTACCTACTCACTGCTAGGTGAACAGAGACATTAGGTGAAAGGAACTGTGCCAACCATTTCTGTCCCGCCCGGGATTCGAACCCGGAATTCTTGATTGTGTGTCGAGAATGAACCCGACTGTACTACCAGGTCCCTATATGAATACCTGTACTTACTAGGGAAAAATGTGTAGAGGGGTTAGATTAGAAACAAATGAGCCAGCTTCATATAAATTAAGAGAGACTAAAAAAAGTTAAGAAATTCAAATTAGTAGTAGACATTTCATACAGCCAAAAACAAACTGATGTGACATAGTTAAAGAAAATTTTTTAATGATTCAATGAGTATAAAGGGTAGCCTTCCAAATTAGTAAACAATTTGTAGGTTTGTAGTTACATTAATTAATTACCTAAGGAAGTTTGCAGGTAATAAATGGGCAAGTAAAGTTTATGACAGAAATGATAAAGAAATTATAAAGCAAAATAATCTACTGATTCGAGCAATCAAATAGCTGGATTAACATACATTGTATCTGCAGCCTGAATACTGCATCATTTTATTAATCAAAATAAATCTACAACTAATTTAACAAATGTAAATATGGATCAATTCAATTATCCACTTTCTTCATTACAGCTGGGTCTCCTGATTTTTTTTTATATCCTCTATTACCATCACCATTCAGGACCATCAACTTGATTCTCATCCGTATAAAGACCTGCAGTTCCTTAGCACTATCCACATCTACCACGACTGAACATTCCAAACTCAATGTCATTGTGGTATTTAGACAGTGCAATTTAGATAATACAATGGAGATTGCGATTTAGACAATACAATGGAGATTGCAATTTAGACAATACAATGGAGATAGCAACTTATCTCCAGCTGAAGGTTGTCTTTAGGATAGTCACATCCTGACACCTGGATTAACAGAATGCCTTTGATTCTGTTCAACATACATTCAATGATATCGGAAGACAGCGGGATCTTAGCAGTGGACCGCATTCACAGGTCCGATTTATGAATATCTGGGGAACTCCTTTTCCCAGAACAGCTGTCTGCATCATCAGGTTCAACACCCCTTGCATACAGAAGTGATAGACATTTTAGGGAACTACTCAACACTACCTGAATAAATGCCCAATATAATCACCACTGCCTCCCACATGTTCATCCTAGTCGATGCTGTCCAACCACATAAAGCACCAATTCAACTGAACTTCCATACACCCAAATTTTTCATTACTGAACACTAGCAAGTAAGTAAGTAATTATCAAAAGAAGGCACCAAACTAGGAAGGCTATGTAGCACCATCAAATGTGCGGAATAATCAGAGGGCGCTAAATATCACCAATAATGCCAATATGAGAACAAAAACGCATAAGGCGAACGATATCAAAAGTATCCGAGTCACCAAGAAGTCTTTTGAGGGACAGGTGACCGCGAGGGGCGGTCGGAAAGCAAGACACACGCTCGTCCTGGAAGTCAGGACATTCAAGAAGGACATGCACGACCGTAAGAGGGACAATACAACTAGGACAATAAGGAGCAGGGCGGTGCTCCATCAAGTGACATAGGTTAAGCGAGTATGGCCAATACGCAACCTCGCCAGGGCTGTTTCCCATCGCCGGTTACGGTGGTAGGAGGACGGCCACGAGGAAACACAACATTTAAGAGTACGTAGTTTGTTACCAGTAACAGACGACCAAGAAGCCTGCCAACGGGTAAGGACGGAGGAATGGATAACCGGGTAAAAGTCGGAATATGGAATACCTTTACGAGAGATGGGATGAGCGGACAGCTTCCTTGGTGGCAGCATCCGCACGCTCATTTAAAGACACACCAATATGGCTGGGAACCCAACAAAACTCAATCGACTTAAATTTACTGTGAACAAGAAACAGCCAATGCTGGATCTCGACAACTACTGGATGAACCGGATTAAAGGACCCGAGAGTCATGAGGGCACTACGAGAGTCAACAACAACTACAAAGGAAGACTGACAACGAGAAAGCAGGAGACGAAGAGCATAGAGAATAGCATAAAGCTCCGTTGTAAAGATGCTAGTCTCCGGAGATAAGCGACACATATAAGTGCGATCAGGAAAAACAACAGAGTAGCCAACACCGTCTGCAGACTTAGACCCATCGGTGAAGACAGAAACGGAGCGGGAGTGAGAAGAAAAGTGCTCAAGGAAAAGGCGGTTTAGAACTGTAGGAGAGGTAAAAGCTTTAGTGACGCGGGTCAAGGATGTACAAAACCGCGGAAGGGGGACTCTCCACGGGGGCAAAGAAGGAACAACACGAGGAGAAATATTAGAAATACGAACGGAAAGAGAATCCTGTAGGCGAGATAACCGGACAGAAAGAGGGAGGTGGTGAAGAGGAACAGGAACCGTAGGAGGGGTAAAAGTTAATGCTTAAGCACGACAGAGGCGAGAATCCCTTATCTATCCATATCTCAACTATGGTATTTGTGCTTGGGGCTCTAGTACCCAAAATCACTTACGTCCTCTATTTACTCAACACAAAGCTGCTATTAGGACAATATCCAATTCTGGCCCCAGACATCACTCGGTACCCCTATTCAAATCCCTGAATATGTTAGACATTAAGTCACTGCACATTCTCTCATGTGTACTATACATATACAAAACGCTAAATTGTAATGCCAATCCTGATCTCAAAAGCTTCATAGAAGGTTGTAACAGAACCCATGAGCACCACACCAGAAATAAATACAGTTTTGATATTCCTAGAGTACGACTTAATCAAACCAGAAATGCTCTACAAATCAAGGGGCCCAGAATGTGGAATGACCTTCCCAACCATGTTAAAGACAGTACCTCTCTCAACCAGTTTAAGTTAAAAACGAAGCTATACCTAATAAATTCCCTGTAACCTACCTTACCTCTCTATTGTCAACCCATGTATGTTTTTTTTTTTTTTTTTTTGTTTTACAATTCAACGCTGTTTTAATGTAATTTTCAGTAATAATTTGTAATTGTATTTGTGCTGTTTTTTCAACAATGTTCCCCCCTCTTTTACCTCTATTTTTTATTGTACTCAACGCATTTTTTTCTTTTTACCCATTAGTTTTAAGCTTTAGTCAGTAGTGTTTTTTTCAGTAGTTTCAGTAGTCAGTAGTTTCCTGTTGGGTTATTTGTGGACCTGCGTAAGGCTTTTGACACTGTCAACCATCAAAACCTTCTTCTTAAATTACATCATTATGGAGTCAGAGGACACTCCCTGCAATACCTCAAATCTTATCTTACTGACAGGCTCCAGTATGTTTCTGTGAATAATACAATTTCTCCCACCCTACCCATCAACATTGGTGTTCCTCAGGGCAGCATACTTGGCCCTCTCCTCTTTCTCATCTACATTAATGACCTTCCAAATGCCTCCCAACACCTCAAACCAATTCTATTTGCTGACGACACAACCTTCATTTACTCCAGTCCTGACCCCCTTGCTCTAAATGCCACAGTAAATACTGAGCTAGAGAAAGTCCATCTTTGGCTAACTGCCAACAAACTCACCCTTAACATTGACAAAACGTTTTATATTCTGTTTGGCAATAAATCCTCTAATCAGATAAATCTCAAAATAAACAATACCCAAATTTGTAACAAATTAGATGGCAAATTCCTTGGCGTTCTCATCGACCACAAGCTGAATTTCCAGGGTCACATTCTAAATATATCAAAAAAGTTTCAAAAACTGTTGGCATTCTTTCTAAGATCAGATATTATGTACCCCGCCCTGCCCTGGTTACTCTCTATTACTCCCTCATCTATCCATACCTCAACTATGGTATTTGTGCTTGGGGTTCTACTACCCAAAATCATTTACGTCCTCTCATTACCCAACACAAAGCTGCTATTAGGACAATATCCAACTCTGGCCCCAGACAGCACTCGGTACCCTTACTCAAATCTCTGAATATGTTAGATATTAAGTCACTGCACATTCTCTCTTGTGTATTATACATATATAAAACGCTGAACTGTAATGCCAATCCTGACCTCAAAAGCTTCATTGAAGGTTGTAACAGAACCCATGAGCACCACACCAGGAATAAATACAGTTTTGATATTCCTAGAGTACGACTTAATCAAACTAGAAATGCTCTACAAATCAAGGGACCCAGAATGTGGAATGACCTTCCCAACCATGTTAAAGACTGTACCTCTCTCAACCAGTTTAAGATAAAAACTAAACACTACCTAATAAATTCCCTGTAACCCACCTCACTCCTTTATTGTCAACCCATGTCTGTTATTTTATTTTATTATTATTATTTTTTTTTTAATCAACACTGTTTGTCAACCTATTGTATTTGTGCTGCTTTTTCAGTCATGTTCCCCCTTTTTTTATCTTTATTTGTATTTGTTTTCAACACTTTTTATTCTTTATGCTCAATTAGTATTAAGTTCTAGATATTAATGTTTTTCTTGCCCGAAACGCATTGCGTAATAGTGGCTTTAGGCATTGTATGTACTAGCTCTATATATATATCAATCCATTAATGTAACATCACTTGTATGTATATACCTTACCTGAATAA